GTGAGATATAGCTGCTAAAATAACAAAACTAATCCATCTGCTCTATTGCTCCCCCAGTCAGAGTGAGAGTGGGTGCTGGACCAATCCAGTCTTGTAGTAACATTTTACACTTCGGAGGTGCAAAACGCATATCGAATATGGTTACACTAGTATTCAAACTATTCGGAAATGACTGCACTTAGCAGCATAATGTTGTCTTCATACTTCAGATCGAACAGTCCGCCACTTGGGAGTAAATCGATGCCACTATCCGCGCACGAGGTCAGGGCTGTTTCAAGAATTAAATTTACGATAAAGTTAAATAGAAACCGAGAGGGAGGACAACCTTACCGATCACCACGTTTCGTGGTGAACTCGGGCGAAAAAGTGCCGTAAGCTCGAACTGGACTTCCGCTATTAGTACAAAGGATCCGCAGTATTGAAATAATATTCTCAGGGACACCCTTCAGAGAGAGGCAGCACCATAGCGATCGGACAGAATGAATAGTCATCACATTCGTCTGTTCCCCTTTTGTCGTTGAATCGAATCAATACTAAACGGTTTGCTATTATATCAAGATTAGAGATATTCCGGTCTTGAGAACTCGAGTAGCCGCATATCTTTCAATGGTTTGTGATTCGTTTCTTCTTTTTCTGCTTCATTCGGTTTCTGCGTTTTTTAATCAGGTCCCCATATGCACACACACACACACACACACACACACACACACACACACACACACACACACACTCAGTAACGGCGGACACCGAAACTGATAATTGTGCAGGTAGTGTTTTTGAACAAACCCTCTTTGGTGCTAGCAAACAAACTGAGTTCAGATAAACATTTCAACGCGTGTTACAGTTTCTGAGCGATTGCATAACAATTTTTTCCCCGCTTTCTCTCAAATCACAGTTCTCAACCTCGTATCGGAGAAATTCCTCTCTGTCCGGAACTACCCATCCCACAAACCATTCCTATTCGAGGGATTTGTGTTCCAGTCGAATGGACTCTCAGATCACCTCGGGCACAGTCCCGGAAAGTTCGCGTCGGTGAAAATCCGTTTGTGATTCGTGTCCCCGAGGATGTGGACTTTACATTCCCCTGGCGTGTACCGCTCATCGGTTTGGCTCTAACATGGAGTGAGTGTGTCCGCATATCGACCGATTTTGTCCCCATTGGTGTTTGTCAATCACGTGGAGCATTTTAACAACCTCGTTACTATTCATTTAGCTACATTTAAATGTTTTCCTGCCGGTCTGGAAAGTGCATCAAGAGAGAATTCTACGGGTGTTCTTAAACACTAACGATGTATTTTAGATACGAACCGCACCTGACGGAGTACAATTAATCATCCACCGTGACTTGCATGCAACTTAGAGGCGCGTTATCTGAAGTTAAGCGAGCCCGTTTTTTGTTAAATGTTTTCCTATCACAATCAGTTGAAACCGCAAATATCACTAATCTCACCCAGATCAGTCACTTTGTGGTGTCGAAAAATCGTTGTCGATACACTCTATTTATTCAGGTTCGTCAGTGATAGAATTAATTTATATAGCTTATGAATTTTGAGTAAAGCTTTTGGGTTCCGATGCAGTAATTCATTCGGGGCAATCCCAACAATTTATGGTCGATATGTCTAGCACCGGAATCCTCTCATCGGTAATTCAATACTGATGATAGGATACGAGACTGATGCATTCCAGACACATACACACACACACGACAAGCATTAGACATTTACAAATAAATACTCTTGAGCATGATTGAGTGTTTGAAGCTTTCATGGGAGAGTTGAACAAAAATATTCCGGATACGTGGTACACGATGAGTACGAGGAGGTGCAGATAGCCGGGGAAAGAAAACAGGAGTTGTAATCTATTGTGAATAATGCAACTTACGTAGAACCAAATATCAACACAGTCAAGTGCACAACTCGCGAGTCATATGAGGGTCGCTATACTCGGACTGTAGGGATGGAACACAGTCGACGTCACACAGAAGGGCGATGCTTTGCTATGACTTCAAATTTGGTTTAACGTAGCAGCAAAGTATTGATCGTCTGCCGGCTGCCTTTGGTAAGGGCGCTGCTTCAAGAGGCATTCTGTTTGAGTGTTTTGCCAACTTTGAGCTTGGCAGGTGGTCCCTGGATGATGAAACACGGTGTGGTTAACCTGTAGAGGCCACCACAGCGGAAAACATTGCTGCTGTGTAAGTAATGATCAAAGAGGATGTGTGAGTGACAATGGCACAACTGGTGAAAGTCATCGGGATCAATCCAGGCCATCCTGCGTGGGAATCTCGGTCTCAGAAAGTTTTGCGCACGCTAGATACTCTATCAGCTCAGGTAGGAACAGAAAGCAGTTCGGGTGATTTGGTACCGCACCACATGCTTTCCGAATTTCATCGTGGACGTTCCTATGCAGTTTGGGAGATCATTAGTGGTGATGAGACTTGGATGTGTAGTTTGAACCCACAGACCAAGCAGCAGCCGGTTCAGTGGACGCCGGTTGGTAGGGCGTCACAGAAATTTCGACACGAGCGCAGTGTGACAAAGTAGATGGTGGCTGCGTTCATAGCCAAAACCGATCGCGTGGCTGTTTTACTGCTCGCACAGCAAAGCACAGTCACCGGAGACTGATACGCCATCCACTGTCTACCAAAAGTGTTAGAAACTGTTGCCAGGTGTCGTCCAAGGACTCGAGCACAAAAAACCTTGCTCTACCATAACAACGCATCTGTACACTAGTCCTATGTCGTTGGCAATTTTCTGGCTCGAGAACGCATCCAGGATCTGGCTCTGTGTGACATTTCGTGTTCCCAAATGTCCAGCGCATGATGCGTGGGATCCGATACGAGTTACCAACCACTGCAGTAGAATTGAATCGGACAAAGGGTTACCCGCTTCAGTATGGTCTAGCTGTTTCACCAAATAGATTGTGTTTATGGAACTGTGCATGAACACTGATGAAGAAGAATACCTCGAGAAAATCTAATGCTTATTTTTATGTAACAAATAAATCCTTTTGTGCTTCCCAAAACGTTTTGCTCAATTCTCGTAGAGGAAACCTTATTTTCATTCGCCCGGTAGACTGAGTTCTGATTGACCTGTCGTACGTGTGCGGCCAACAAATCGCGTCTAGCTCGTGTCAAGTTCGTTTTTTTGCCTCTTTCGTGGCAATTTTGAGCATATTTTTCCACAGAAACACAATCAAAATGAAATACAAAACTCCATTTAATACATTTGAGTGTTGTTTTTATGATCTTAGAACTCCTCAATTCCAGATATTCTGTGTTTCAGTTTTCCCCGTAACCATACTATCTACAAGTGACCATCTGAGTGTATTTCAATACAAACATTCCCAGAAGGAGAAATCTGAAACTACCACTAGAGCGAAATTTAGTTCTGAATTTGAGATAATTTTTTTAACGAACAAGCTCGTTTTCGACAACTTCTTCCTCGGGCTAATACAGTTATATAGTCAAATTAAAATTAAAATGTT